TCACACAGGCAATGGGATAAGTGTTTTCTTAAGTACATATATTTATGATGGAGTGAAAACCTGTGATTTGTCTTCCCTCATACTTAAGTCCTTAACCATGGTATAATATTATGTTTTATTTTTCAAAGGATATTCACCTGAGTCTAGCATGTGGAATAAATTTTTATTTTCATGATTTTCAGCTGTGACTTCTCATTACACTGAAGGCCTTTTGCCAGAGAAGAGTATAGAAGACTCCCTTTCAAAGGTGCCAATGGGAAAATATGGTAAATATGTCCTTAAGAACTTATGCTTACAAAATCTTGGGTAAGTGTGCATGAGGGTGAAAGGTAGATAGAATGCTAAATTGCAAATAACCATTACAAACATAACAAGAGTAGGAAAGTCTTTCATCAACACTCCAAATTTGTTATCTACCAGAGTATCCATATTTCTGAAATGGCTTTCAAACATGAATATGGCAAAACCTTTAACTGGTATTCAAAATGTATTCAATATCAAAAAAAATAGTGGAGGAAATATACCCAGTATATGTGGGAAAGGGTTTGAGAAATCATCCTATCTAAATAGACATGAAAGAATCCATAAGGGGGAGGCAGACTTCAAAATTGAAAGTTGTGGCAAAGCCCTTAGCTATTACTCATGTCATTCCCAATATCAGAAAATTCATTGTGAAGAGAAACTCTATAAATGTGAAGAATGTGGCAAAGCCATTCACTTTCGTTCACATCTTACTCAACATACAGTGATCCATACTGGAGAGAAACCCTACAAATGTGAAGAATGTGGCAAAACCTTTCACTTTCATTCACGCCTTACTCGACATACTGTGATCCATACTGGAGAGAAACCCTACAAATGTGAAGAATGTGGCAAAGCCTTTCCCTCTCGTTCAAATCTTACTCAACATACAGTGATCCATACTGGAGAGAAACGCTACAAATGTGAAGAATGTGGCAAAACCTTTCCCTCTCGTTCATATCTCACTCAACACACAGTGATCCATACTGGAGAGAAACGCTACAAATGTGCAGAATGTGGCAAAGCCTTTCACTCTCATTCACATCTTACTCGACATATAGTGATACACACTGGAGTGAAACGCTACAAATGTGAAGAATGTGGCAAAGCTTTTCCCACTCGTTCAAATCTTACTCAACATACACTAATCCATACTGGAAAGAAACCCTGCAAATGTGAGGAGTGTGGAAAAACCTTTCACTTTCGTTCACTCCTTACTCGACATACAATGATCCATACTGGAGAGAAACCCTACAAATGTGAAGAATGTGGCAAAGCCTTTCACTCTCATTCAAATCTTACTCAACATACAGTGATCCATACTGGAAAAAACCCTACAAATGTGAAGAATGTGGCAAAGCCTTTCCCTCTCGTTCACATCTTACTCAACATACAGTGATCCATAGTGGAGTTAAACGCTACAAATGTGAAGAATGTGGCAAAGCCTTTCATACTCGTTCACTCCTTACTCGACACATGATGATCCATACTGGAGAGAAACCCTACAAATGTGAAGAATGTGGCAAAGCCTTTAACATTTGTTCACTCCTTACTCGACATACGATGATCCATACTGGAGAGAAACCCTACAAATGTGAAGAATGTGGCAAAGCTTTTCGCTCTCAAGGAGAATTTGCTGGACATAAGACCATTCATACTGGACAGAAACCCTACAAATGTCCAGAATGTGACAAAGCCTTTAACTCTCGTTCACATCTTACTCGACATACAGTGATTCATACTGGAGAGAAACCCTACAAATGTGAAGAATGTGGCAAAGTCTTTCACTGTCGTTCACATCTTACTCAACATACAGTGATCCATAGTGGAGTTAAACGCTACAAATGTGAAGAATGTGGCAAAGCCTTTCAGTCTCGTTCAAACCATAATAAACATACATTGATCCATACTGGAGTGAAACACTACAAATGTGAACAATGTGGCAAAACCTTTCACTCTCATTCAAACCTTAATCAACATACAGTGATCCATACAGAAGAGAAACCCTATAAATGTGAAGAATGTGGCAAAGCCTTTCACTCTCATTCACAACTTAGTCAACATACAATGATCCATACTGGAGAGAAACCCTACAAATGTGAAGAATGTGGCAAAGCCTTTCGCTCTAGAGGAGGATTTTCTGGCCATAAGACCATCCATACTAGGGAGAAACCCTAGAGATGTGAAGAATGTAGCAAAGACTTTCACTCTTGAGGAGGATTTGCTGGCCATAAGACCATCCATACTTTAGTGGAACCATAAAAATTTGCAGAATGTGGCAAATGCTTTAGTTAGTACTTGAAGCTTATTGAACATCAGAATATCCATACTGGAGAGAAACCCTACAAATGTGAATAATGTGGCAAGGTCTTTCACTCTCACTCTGGTTTTTCTCGACATAAGACCATGCATACTGCAGAGAAATCTTACAAATGTGAAGAATGTGGCAAAGCTTTTTGCTCCCATTCAATGCTTGCTGGATATATCAAAGTGTTGTGGAGAGAAACCCTACAAATGTCAAGAATGTGGCAAAGCCTTTCACTCTCACTTTGGATTTGCTTTACATAAGACCATCCATACTGGAGAAAAAACCTACAAATGCGAAGATGTGGCAAGGCCTTTCACTCTCATGTAGTATTTGCTAGACATAAGACCATGTGCACTGTGGAGAAATCCTACAAATATGAAGAATGTGGCCAAGCGTTTTGCTCCCATTCAATGCTTGATGGACATATGAAAGTGCATATTGGGGAGAAACCATAAGTGTGAAGAATGTGGAAATGCCTTTTGCTCTCACAATGGATTTGCTGGACATAAGACAATCCATACTGGAGAGAAACCCTACAAATGTGAAATATATATATTGAAAAGCTTTTCACTCTAATTGACTATTTGCTCAACATGGCAAGATCCATACTGTTGAGAAACCCTACACATGTGAAAAGTATGGCACAGCTTTTTGTACTCATGGAGGATTTGCTGGATATAAGACCATCGATATTGAAGAGAAAAACAAACTGCACAAATATAAAGAGTGTGGCAAAGCCTTTCACTCTATTAAGGATTTGCTGGACATAAGACCATCCACACTGGGGAGAAATTGTGCAAATGTGAAGAGTGTTGTAAAGTCTTTCACTCTAATAAGGCTTTGCTGGACATATGACCATCCATACTGGAGAGAAATCATGCAAATGTGAAGAGTGTGGCAAATTCTTTCACTCTATTAAGGATTTGCTGGACATAAGACCATCCACAATGGGGAGAAATCCTACAAGTGTAAAGAATATGGCAAAACCTTTCACTTTCACAACGGATTTGCTGGACACATGACCATCCATGCAGGAGAAAAACAATACAAATGTGAAATATGCGGAAAAGCTTTTCACTCTCATTCACTACTTGCTTGACATGTCAAGATGCATACTGTTGAGAAATCTTGCAAATGTGAAAAGTGTGACAGTTTTTCACATTCATAAAGCATTTGCTGGACACAAGACCATCTATAGTGGAGAGAAATCCTACAAACATGATGAATGTGGCAAAGCCTTTTGCTCTGAAATGATTTGCAATTCATATGAGGCACCATGATGGAGAGAAACTCTACAAACATGAAGAATGTGGCAAAGATTTTTGCTTTACTAAAGTATTTACTGAACATAAGTCCATTGATACTGGAGAAAAACCCTACAAATGTGAAGAATGTGACATAGCCATTCACTCGCACAATGGATTTGCTGGACACATAATCATCCATACTGGAAACTCTGCAAATATGAAAAACATGGTAAGCCCTTTGCTCTCATCTACAACTAGCTGGACATATGAGAGTCCATACTGAGATGAAACTATATAAATGAGAGTAATGAGATAAAGCCTTTAGCTCTCATTTAATATTTGGTAGACATACGAGCATCTATATTTAGGGATTCCCTACAGATGGGCAGAATGGGGTAAACCTTTTCACTGTTATTCCAAGTTTTATCAACATCAGACAATTTATACTTTAAATTTTCAGTATCTCTAATGACTGGAAAATCATATATGTAGGTATAAACAACAGAGACTTGGTGAGAAATGTACAGTTGTAAAGAGTACCGTTATCTTTACTCAAACCACAGATCTTTTGAATGTATAAATGTAAAACATGTCTAAAGACATTAACCAGCAAAAACTTTATTTGACATTAGACTGTGCATTGTAGAGAATGTACAAATTTAAAGAATGTGGACTGGCCTTTGTTCAAAATATATGCCATTGGAAATACTAGGATATTCGGACCGAAAATGTTACAGATGCACTTTATATGGAAGCTTATTTACTGAAAGATCAAGTTGAAATAAATATCAAATATTGAGTGGCATTAGAAGTTGGTTTGTTTGTTTGTTTTTTAGGAAAGCATAAGTATATTCTCTGTATAATTTTGGTTTTGCATTGACAGAATTTGGGGATATTTCAAAAAGCACACAATATTGGTGTAATGCAATTCGCATGATGCTATGCCTTCATTCGTAGTGTTTATGTAAAGGCATGGGGTCAGTTGTTGGTGTGTTGGAGTTATGAAATGTCCCTGTGTAGTAGGTCATCAACTCTTATCTCATGTTTTTTGTGGGGTATGAAGAACACTGATATGTAATCTCCTTTAAAAGATCGAACCGAAGAGGTTTTTTGTGGCTCACATTAAGCATTAATGTAAGTTTGGAATGAGGTGAGTGCTCAGGATAACATTTTTCTTTGGAAATAGATGACAAAGAATCATTGAGAGATTTAGAAATCATTTGTCTTACTACTTACATGCAAATGAGAAAATGAGGCCAGAACATTAATATCTTGATACATCTTCATATTATCAGTACTTACAAGCCATCAGTGTAATTTGATATAATATAAGGAAATATTTTCATAGACATCAGAGCAAAGATAATTATTCTATTAAAATGTATATATTATAAGTTTATGTTTAGAAAATAATCAGATTCAGTTTTTAAAACTGAAGGAAGCTTTTCACACATGGATCACAATATCAAAAGAACAGAAATGCTTGAATATTTGTAATCTGGTCCTGCATACAGCGAAATTTGAAGGTTTATTTAGGCTATGTAAATTTGTTGATTTAAATGAACAGAATTGTTTATAAAGTATTAATATTTGTTGTGCACACAATAAATTGTTATGTTGCCATAAGTGTTATTCTATTCTATCTTACCCAAGATTGCAGGTATATGATGACTATATACTATTGAGTAACTTATGTAAGTATGTTTCTAGTGGTCCTTTTTTTATAGGTCATATTTTCTTCCTTTTTTTTTTTTAGTTATGTGTCATTTTGATTATTGTAATAATACAGGAGTATAATTATAAGACCTAACTTTCTGAATCCTGACTATTGTAAATACTTACATATTAGGATGGTTTTTGACTCTGATGTCTGGGCTGGAACACAGTGGAAAATCCATGGTCACTGCAGCCTCAACATGATTGTATCAGGCTTTCTCCTTTAGCCTACTGAGTAGCTGGTGCCACAAACATTTGCCATCATGCCCAGCCAACTAATGAATTCATTGTTAAGACAAGGTCTCACCAAGTTGCTCAGACTGGCCTGGAAGCCCTAGACTAAAACAGTCTGCTGTACTTTGCCTCCAAAGTGCTGGAATTATAGGCATGACTCACCATGCCCAGTCTCTTGTTTCCTTTCTAGTCATCTGGTGCTGTGTTGGAAGCACTTGTCCCCTCAAGTCATCTGCCTCTAACTCCTGTTGTGTGGGTTCTGGGCTCTGGAATATCTTCAACATTTATATCTTGATACCCTTCCCTTTCCACTGTTTTGTCATAAATACAATGATTCTTTGTAATTTCCTTGGTTCACTCTTGAGAGACCAAATGCTCATATGGAAACATTAACATTATATGGTGTGTGAAACTGAATCTCACAACACTTACATTAATCACCTGGCAGCAGGAAGTGGTCCCAAAATTATTGAATGATACACTTTGTGTCATAGCTAATTTTATGCCGTTATGAGTTAATTCTGCATCTTTACATTTATTTACACATTTCCCAACTGCTGAGGTGCCATGTATAACCTGTAAGTGCATAAATTATAAGTTTACCTTTGTATGATAGATTTGTATATCTTTATGACAGCAAATGTCAAAATAGACAAGAATATACTTCTATCTGATGTCCTCGTGACATTTTTAAAGTATATTTCTTTTTTTTGAGTTAGAGTCTCACTCTTTTACCCAGACTAGAGTGCAGTGGCCCCTCCCGGCCACCAGAGCCTCAACCTGCTGGGCTCTGGCTATCCTTCCGCCTCAGCCTTCTAAGTAGCCGGAATTACAGGCATACACTACCATGCCCAGCTGATTTTTTTTTGATTTATTGCAGAGATGAGGTCTTGC